CAGAGCAATGCTGGAGCTCTGTCAGAGTGACCATCACTCCTTGACTAAGGCTTTTCTACCTCAAACTCTCTAACTGGCGAGGTGGCAGCTCTAGGAAAGTCCTGGTGGTTTCAAACTTCTTCCATTTACAGATCTCTGAGCTTATTGGGACCTTCAGTCCTGCAGAAATGTTTCTGTGCTTCAACACAAGCCTGTCTCAGAGCTCTACAGACAATTCCTTGGATCTTCTAAGTCTAGTGATGCTCCTATTACAGGGGAAAATAAATCAGATTAATCTTAGTAGAAACTCACCATCATAACAGAAGAAAGGATTTTTTTTGTTGCATTCATCAGAGCTCCATTTTCTTGATCTGTTTAACAGAGTCACAGCACATTTCTTTTTGTTTTGTCCGTCATTAAATGACTCCATATCCCAGTGCCTGAAAGAGAAATTACTTCCATCTGACCACCTCCAGGTGTCTCTGAACAGGCCGATCCACACATCCTGAGACTTTTTCAGGATCTTAAATTCTTCCCCATCCGCCTGATCGAGTCCACTGGCCAGGTCAGTGTAGTGATCTCTGCAGTAGTTCTGAGCCTTTGTCCAGGTTATCTTCTCCTCAATCAAATGGATCGATTTACCGTCTCTCTTCTTTCCTGTTAAGGAAAAACATCAAAACAAAACAAAATTTCCATCACCACAAACATTTTGAAGAAATACAGAAAGACACATAATTTGTATGATTCCTCAAACATGCTTTCTCTCCATTTCTCTTTCAGTTCAGTTATATTATCAATCAGACTATTATCCACATATTCTCACCATCGTAGCAGATGAACGGCATCATTTGGTCACATCTGGCTTGTGTCCAGTTTCCTCTTGTCTTCACACAGTTCTCATTTTGATTTTGATCATCTGGTTCAGAAGATCCCCATCTGGTTTCATGTTCAGTGTAGTTCACCCCTGGCAGAGACCAATGCCACATCCTGTTTTCTTTTCCTGGGTTGCTGAACAGTCCAATCCAGGCTTTACCTTCATACTCTTTGGATTCACGCAGTCTCACCATGTCTGCCATGTCAAACACGCTGGCCAGGTCTGCATAATTCTCTCTGCAGTATTTCTGTGCTTCTTCCCAGGTTTTGTCTTCTCTAATAAAGTGGTACTCATACAGGTAACAGGTGGAGACGAAACACTGACCTAAAAGCAGTAAAATATTAGCAATAATGCTGCATTATCAAATCAAACTCACTGGTTCACAGATAAACAGTCTACAACACAAGTGTGACTCTGAGCTCAGTGAAAGACAAATGTGTGCAGATAAAACAAATAGATGAAAATCAAATGGAAAAACAAAGAAAAGACAGAAGAAGTAAGAAGACAAGACATTACAAAAAACACGGTAAGTTTGTAGGATTCAACAAAACACACACCAGGTAGAGAAATATCATCTCTATAGGGAAACTCAATCAGAATTTTCCACTTACCCATCAGAATCAGCAGAAAGAGACTCCACTGCATCTTTAATCTGCCGGATTAAATAAATATTTCATTAGATAATGAAATCATGTTTCATTTCATAGATGGTCTGGTTATAATCATCATTATAATCTGGGTGTACAGATTGGAAGTTCAGCTGGACCCAAATGCAGACACGAGCAGGCAGCCAGAGTTTAAATGTTTTACATCACTCATGTATACATCAAAACATAGAATTAGGCTTTATCACTGTTGTAAAAATACTCCATGCTGTACTAATACAGAGGTGTCTTATTGTTGAGGTCAGGAGCTGCCAGATTTGTTTTCTCTGGTAGTCTGCATGCATGAAAGAGTCTCTGCTTAACATAACTGATATTATATTAAGGCTGATTCTTCGGTTTAAAGGTGCTTTTCTTTTAAATCCAGTCTGCTGCATATCTTAGAAATTGACATTGAAAATATATAAATATATATAAACATAAACAAATACAAAACATGCGATGAATTACAGATTTCAAACTTACATCTGGTTAGTCGTTCGGTCCTTCGTCTAATTTGGCGTCTTTCCTCGAAGGGTTCAAATAAACACTGAAATGAAAGCAAACACAGAGAGCTCATTATGCAAAGATCGGAATTTATATATTAAAATCCTGCTGCTGCTTTCAGAAAGATAAAGACGAGGGAGTTTTTTTACACGTATGAAAGCGGTATTCTGTTACGTGTTATAGCTTATAGCTTTTTCCTCAATGATTGTAAAACTGTATAATTTTGTTGTTGTCTCTTGTTTTTGAACTGACTTCTCATCATATACTTTACCAATGAAAAAGCTGATGATGGTTTGGATCGTTTATATGCAGAAATATTGAAATTATGGAAATATTTATACTTGTATTGTGAGCTTGTTCTTTACCTGAGTGTTTTATCTTGATGTCGCTTTACAACTTCCTTACTTTTGCATGTAAACACTGAAACACTGCTGATAAAATAAGACCTGAATCTGTGGATAATTTGCTTTTTATTACTTATTTTTCATTTAAAATGACTTTTGTTATTATTGGACGTCGTCACTTACAGTCTAATGTCTCTGAACTTTCCCACACACTTTGGAGAATATGACTGTTTTTCAATAACTATCATTAAGAGATTATCTTAATTTTCATATGAACACATTTTTCACTGTACATGTAACGTTATAAATCCTCCCAGTGTGGATCATATTTACATTTTGAATGCAAATTTCTCTGAAATGATTACAAGATAAACATGTGAGCAAATGAGCCATACGCTCAGAAAACTTCCCACGAACTCCAGTCGTCTGCAAAATGACCTCAAATATATATATTTTTTGAAAAGTGATCACAAGCATTTTCTTATTATTTCCTCCTGTTCTTTAATAGTACTTGTTAAGCAGATTGTAACCTATCTAGGGGAGCTATGCCTTAAACATCTGTCAGCTGACATACGAGTGGTAATTTTTTTCATTAAATGAATGAATTAAGGATAAAAACCATTAGAGGTCCGTAATAACTGACAATAAATGTAATGAAGGTGGGAATATGAGAGAGTGAAAGGATAAAAGAGAACGTATTTTTAGTGTTTTTGCTTTATATTCAGAAAAACAGACTAAAATATCTAAAAAATGGCAGAAATGCAGAAATACAGACTGCCTATTTGTAGTGCAATCCTCAGGTAAACATCCTGAGGATCAAGGTGCAGTATATGAAAGGGAAAAGATACAGTGCAACTTGTTACGACATGTTTTGAAGTGAATCGGATTTTAAACCATGTGCTCACATAAGCACAGGAGCTGTATGCTGTGCATGCTGCTCTCTCAGACTGTTGCTGAAGGAAATACAGTGCTGTAAAAAGTGTTTTCTCCTTTCCTGATTTCTTAGTTTTGTGCATATTTGTTACATGTTTCAGATCATCAACCAAATGTTAATATTAGACAAAGATAACCTGATTTTTTGAAATTATGGTTTCATCTATAAAGGGAGGAGGTTATCTAACAGTGTCCTACAGTGTTTTTTAGCATCAAGGGTGTCATAAAGTTTGTTGTTTCTCTTATTTAATGTAACTCCACCGCTATCAGCACTTTGTCAGTCATTTTATTTAGAAAAAAAGTCTCTTTCTGTTTGCGGTTAAAACAAACAAACATTAAGAGCCCTGTGAGTGTTGAGATGTGCAGACAGCAGAGGGAGTCAAAGCCAAGTGAAAAACTTATCAGGGCTGAGAAAAGGCTTCAGGTGGGTTTCTTATTTTGCTCACGCACAGCTCCAGCTCTGCCAGTAAAGACCTTAAAATCCTGTTTTCGGCAGCAGTGTTATTCCTGAGCAATCTTTTCTTGTTTGAATGCATCAGTCTGGCTCTGCTTTTCCTCCCATGACAAGTAAAAGCATTAAAAACATTGCTCTGAAGCGCTGAATGTAGCAAAGAGGTTATAGAAGTTATTTAGCTATTATTTAAACTGAATGATATTATCTCTTTCAGAAACATTCCTTTGTTCTTCACCCAACTTATATGAACATTATGTTTTACTTCAGGGGTGTGATGTAATTTTTCAGCAAGGAAAAAACTCTTCCTGCACTCTTTTAACGAGACAAACTGGACCGCATGAAAACACAGTGTACTGACTAACTCCTTCCAGGGTTAAAGAATAATAAAAATGTATTACATGTGTAGTTAAATATTTACTAATAGCTGACAATGACATATGTTGGAGGATTTATTTTAACAGCCATTCCTTTAGCAATCGAAGCAATAAAATACAACGAAAACAGCTGAATACACATAAAACTTTATTATTGGCAAGGTACACATAAAATGCTTAAAAGTAAAAGTGTCATCAGTGTTATATGGATCAATATTACTGCTGCAGATGGATAGACTGAGGTTTACTTTAAACAAATGATTATAATATGGCTATGAGGACCACTTATCTCTAAAAAGCGACTTTTAATCATCATACAAACACACTTGGATATAACTTTAATTAAACAGCAGGTTAAACATTTATCATAGATGTTAATCGTCTTGGTTGAAACTGGACATGATGTCAGTTCCTCCTCTCTGCTTTCATTGCTAATACGCTAACACCACATGCTGTGATTTTCTGTGTAAATAACACACACGAGACCCTAAAACAAAAACTGTAATCATCCTTTTCATATAGCTTTTGTAATGTTGGATACAGTCTCTTCTCCCCTAATCCATATTTTGGTTCTTAATATAAGACATAGGGGTGACTCACTGCAATGTTATTATTGTTTTTTCATCTTTCTACATTCAGTGCTTGATAAAAATCATAAAAGCAAATTATTTCTGCTGCAGTAATTAACCTGCAGTGAGTCAGAGAGGTTTAAAACTTATTGTTTAGAACAAATAAAGTTATATTTCTCATGTTCTCTTTGACTGACCCACTGATACCGTCCTCCTCTTTCCATAGCTGCACACCTATCACACTCCTCAATCTTTCCGTTATCAGCCCAGTTCTCGTAGCAGACTGGTTTGTCACTGATCCAGAACCACAGATCCATCACGCAGGTGTAGCGCAGTCCCACCCATATGTAGGGACTGCTGGCATTCTTGGCTCTCCTCTCCACCCGTCTCTGTTGGTGAGGGTTAGTGATGGAGACTAGGTTAGTGTGGTGCAGTCTGCAGTAATTCAAGGCTTCCTTCCAGGTCTTGTTTTCATTGATCAGAATCAAATTATCTGTCAGAAACAATCAAACTTCAGTTAAGTCTGGTTAACAGCAGCTTATGTTCCACTTTACCTTGAATACAGACAGTACACAGTAAACATTGTAGTTTTTCACTTCCTTTAGCTGTATACTTAATTATTGTAAGTGTGTACAGTGCATTTGGAAAGCATTCACAGTTCCACATTTTGTCCTGTTACAGTCTTATTCCAAAATAGATTAAATTTCTTGTTCACTTCAAAGTTCTGCACATGATACCCCAAAATGAAAAAGTGGGGAAAAGATTGTTGAAATTCCTGCAAATCAAAAGCAAAAATATGGCATGTACAGTATGTAAGTATTTACACTTTGTTGAAGTATCTTTGTCAACACTTGAAGCTTCAAGCCTTCCTGAGTATGATGCTACAAGCTTGGCATATCTATTTTAAGGCAGTTTCTCCCATTCATTGCACAACCTCTGAAGCTCCATCAGGTTGGATGGTGCACAGCCATTTTCAGATCTCTCCAGAGAATCAGGTTCAAACTTTGGCTCTTGCTGGTCACTTGAGGACCTTCACAGTGGTTCTGCAGCCACTTGTTTTTATCTTGGCCGTGTGCTTGGGGGCTTGTCCTGTATAAAATGAACCTAATGTGGATCTAATGTTCGGTGCACTCTGGAGCAGCTTATCATCAAGGATGTCTCTGTACATTGCATTCATCTTTCCCTCGACTCTGACTTGTCTCCCGGTCACTGCTGCTGATAAACATCCCCAGAGCATGATGCTGCCACCACCATGCTTCACTGTAGGGATGGTATTGGTCCAGTGATGAGTGGTACCTGGTTTCCTCCAGACGTGATGCTTGGCATTCAGGGTTAAGAGTTCAATCTTTGTTTCATCAGACCAGAGAATTTTATTTCCCATGGTCTGAGCATCCTTCAGGTGCATTTTGGTAAACTGAGGAGTGGCTTCAGTCTGCTCACTCTACTAAACAGGCCTGATTGTTGGAGGGCTTCAGAAATGATTGTCCTTCTGGAAGATTCTCCTCTCTCCACAGAGCAATGCTGGAGCTCTGTCAGAGTGACCATCACTCCTTGACTAAGGCTTTTCTACCTCAAACTCTCTAACTGGCGAGGTGGCAGCTCTAGGAAAGTCCTGGTGGTTTCAAACTTCTTCCATTTACAGATCTCTGAGCTTATTGGGACCTTCAGT